CCTATACAGAACTTGAATGAATGATTGTGTGAATGAATCTCTCTCTCTCTCTCTCTCTCTCTCTCTCTCTCTCTCTCTATATATATATATATGTATGTGTGTATGTATAAGAAATAAGTAGTCAAACAACGTTGTTTACTTTTATCTTTTGCCTTATCAGTATATTTACAATAAATGTGGCATCTTTGCCTTATCCCTCTTAATAAGATCCTGCTGGTTTTTATTCTATTGGTATAACAACAGGACCAAGACATTGTTAGTACAGCATCAATGTAAGAAGACAGTATGTAGAGGACTAGGACATACACCTCTACCCCGATATAACGCTGTCCTCGGAAGCCAAAAAATCTTACCGCGTTATATCGAACTTGCTTTGATCCACCGGAGCGTTCAGCCCCCTCCCCCCGAGCGCTGCTTTACCACGTTATATCCGAATTCATCTTGTATCGGATCACATTATATCGGGGTAGAGGTCTAATTACATTCATAATAGCAAAGCCAGTAATATATAGGACTGCAAGAACCATACTTGAAAAGTAATGTACAAAATGATCAACTAATTTCTGATTTGGCTCCTGGGAACAGTTTCTGAACCGGGACTGAGGACCCACGGATCTAGCCACACAAAAAATGAAGAGTCTAGGTGACTTCCTAAATTGCTTGGTCCTATATAAGGCCAATGCCCTTCTAACATCTAGGGTATGAAAAAAGGATTTCCTGTGCAGCTTCAGGAAAAACCTTGTTATATGAATGGATTGATTAAGGTGGAACTCAGATAGAACCTTAGGCCTTGGCTACACTGGCAATTCACAGCGCTGCACTTGCTGTGCTCAGGGGTGTGAAAAAACACACCCCCCCTGAGCGCAGAGACTGCAGCGCTGTAAAGCGCCAGTGTAATCCGCGCCTGCAGCGCTGCACGCTCACTCGCAGCGCTGCAAGCTATTCCCCTCGGAGAGGTGGAGTACTTGCAGTGCTGCGAGAGAGCTCTCGCAGCGCTGGCGGCGCGACTACACTTGCGCTTCACAGCGCTGCCGCGGCAGCGCTGTGAATCCGCAAGTGTAGCCAAGGCCTCTGGTAAGAATTTAGGTGTGGACATACTGACACCTTGTCCTTAAAGAAACCTGTAAAAGGGGGATCTGCCATCAAGGCTCCAGTCTCCTTGACCCTACAGGCCCACATGAGAGCTACTAAAAAGGCAATCTTTGCAGATAAATGCAACAGAACAGGTCTCATAAAGTAATTGAGTACCAGATTGAAGTCCCATGTTAGGGTAGGGTTTCCCCAAACCCTTAGTAAACTTAGACAATACCAGATGAGCACATATGGAGAATCCTTATACCAGAGGATGAAAAGCTGACATTGCAGGCAAATGGACCTTAATTGAACTACTTGATAACCCTGATTTCCTTAGAATCAACAGATAATCCAGGATGACAAAGTGGCACTGAACCAGGAAGAAAGGAGGCAGCAACGACACCACCAATGGAAGAATCTCTTTCATTTCTGAAAAAAACAGACTCCAACGAAAGACTGCTGAGCTGGAATTGATATGCAAAGTAGACACAATCAACTCAGGATTGAATAAGGACTGGGAATGGCTGAGCCATTACAAACATTGAATCTATCTCCCCTTGTAAATATTCTCACACTTCTTATCAAACTGTCTGTACTGGGCTATCTTGATTATCACTTCAAAAGTTTTTTTTCCTCTTACTTAATTGGCCTCTCAGAGTTGGTAAGACAACTCCCACCTGTTTACGCTCTCTGTATGTGTATATATATATATATATATATATATAAAATATTGAGGATATATATATATATATATCTCCTCAATATTTATTCCATTCTATATGCATACCGAAGAAGTGGGCTGTAGTCCACGAAAGCTTATGCTCTAATAAATTTGTTAGTCTCTAAGGTGCCACAAGTACTCCTGTTCTTTTTGCGGATACAGACTAACACGGCTGCTACTCTGAAACCTTTCATTTCTGCAGATAAGTAGTGCAGGTTGATCTCTTTCTACTATTCAGTAATACGGAGCTGTTGTACTTCCATAGAGTTGGAGGATTCCAATCCCGTGAGGAGCCATGCCCTGAGGTGGAGAACTGCTAGGTTGGGATGAAGCACATGATCCACATCCTGTGACAGGAGGTGAGGAATGGTCAGGAGCTTGAACGATGGTTGGACACAGAGGTGAAGCAAGTAAGGGTACAAAGCTTGTCTTGGCCATGTTGGCACTCTAAGGATAACTCTGGCTCTATCCTATCTGATCTTGTTCATTGCCCTAAGAACAGATCCTTCTTCCAACATGGAAGAAAGGCATCTCCCAAGGTGTGCCATTCCAGACTCCCTCTTGAGCAGAAAACAGGACACTTCCTGTTCTGGAGGTGGCAAAGAGATCCACCTCTAGCAGTCACCATTTTAGGAGTATGCTGTGGAAACTTTGCTGTCTAGCTCCCATTCATAATTCTGTGAGAACTACCTGCTGAGGACATCTGCTGTGGTCTTTTGAATACCTGGAAAGGTAGACTGCAGAAATGCACCAATTCCATAGTTTCATGGCTTCGGAGCAGAGAGAGGAGTATCTTGCTCATCCCTGCTTGTTAATATAGGCTATGCAAGATACATCATGACCCTAATTGATTTGCCCCAGATTAGGGCTAGGAAATAAAGGCATACATTCCTCACAGCCCTGAACTCCAACAAATTGATGTGGAGACTGATTTCCTGAGTAGTCCATCTGCCCTGAGTTGTGAGGGTATTGAGGAAGAGTCCCTATCCCAGCAGCAATAAATCTGTTGATAAAGTCACTGATGGGGGTGGGAGACAGAAGGGAAAACCTATACAGATGCTGAGTTGATCCTTCATCCAGTCCAAGAAGTTTCTCAGTTGCAGAGGAGTAGTCACCTGTCTGTCCAAGGTGTGTTTGACTAGAGAATAGGCCATTCTAAGCCAACCCTGGAAGCAGCAGAGACATAGCCTTGCATGATCAGTCACAAAGGTGCAAGCTGCCCCATGACCCGTGAGCTGAAGACAGTTCCTTATTGTAGTTCGAGGGCTTCCCTGAATTTCCCGTACCAGACCTGACAAGAAGTAGGTTCTGGCGGTCAGTGAACCCCTATAAACTGTATCTTCTGTACAGGGCTTAATGTGGACTTTTTTTTACATTCAGCTTCAGATGCAACTCCTGCAACAGAGCAAGGGCTGCCTGGGTGGAAGACAACACTGCTTCATAGGAACGGCCCTTGAGTAGCCAGTCGTTGAGATATGGGAAAACTAGGATTGCTTCTTGTTGGAGGTAAGCAGCCATTACTGCCAGAACTTTTGAGAACATCCCTGCAGCCAAAGAAAGGTTGAAGGGAAGCACTTACTACTAGAAATTATCCTGGCCTATAGCAAAGCGTAGGTATTTTCTGTCTGATGAGTATATCATTATATGGAATTGGGCATCCTGCAGGTGAAGGGCCGAAAACCAATCCCTTTTCTCTAGTGAAGGAATTATAGCTGGGTCACCATCCTGAACTTTTGAGACTTTACAGACTTCTTTAGAAGTCTTAGATCTAAGATTGTGCCAAAGAAGGTTGGAGACCAAAGAAATACTGTTCAAAACAATTAACACTCAGCAATTGTTTACTTGTACAATACACCGTCCTTTTGCTTTGTATTTTTGAACCCCACATACCTGCTACTGACAAATCAAGATTGCAAGCAGTGGATTTCTTTTCCTTCCATATTAACCAAAAAGAGTTACAAATATGCTCTTAGGGACAGATCCTCAACTAGTGTAAATCTACACTCCAGCTCTACTGAAGTCAATGCAGCTATAACAATTTAGCTAAGAATTTGGCCCATTCATTTTCCTTTCACTGAATGCAATGGCATTCAGTGTAAAACTACACTGACCATTTGTAAATACAGTACCATGCAATTTCTAAGTCTTTCAAGCTGTTCCTTTCTCTCAAATAGTTTCCCCGGAAGAATGCTTTGAGGCAGCCTATTAGCATTACTTCCCCATTAGGAGTTGGGAGGAGCAGCTTCAGGAAGCAGGCAAAGGAAGAGAAATGCAGATACCCCCATAAATTGCAACATTGCTCAGAAATCTAGGAGAGCTCACTATAAGGTGTTACAGTGATAAACCTTTTGGTCTATTTTACTTTGTGTTACATGTGATCTAACTTTGGAGAGATCGAATGAGAAAAGGTATTTTCCTTCTCTGTAGCTGTGCAAGTTAATACAACAAGGACCTTACTCATATGCATGTTTTCTATATGATGATTACCATATATAATCAAATTAACAAAATACAAGTGCTTTTAAAAAATACATCAAGAAGAGCAATTCCTAATAAGTTTTGGCTGTTGCATTAGTTTAATCAAGACGAGAGAACTCACTATTAGTTGACAGGTTTCAGAGTGGTAGCGTGTTAGTCTGTATCAGCAAAAAGAACGAGGAGTACTTGTGGCACCTTGGAGACTAACAAATTTATTTGAGCATAAGCCCACGAAAGCTTATGCTCAAATAAATTTGTTAGTCTCTAAGGTGCCACAAGTACTCCTCATTCTTTTCACTATTAGTTGACTACACCTTAGCCCTCAACCCTGTAAGCTTCTCTAGTAGATTTTAGATTATCTATGGATCACCCTGTCTTGAAGGCAATGCCTCATTTGCACAATACATGCTATGTTGACATTAGACTCAATGCAGCAATACATAAAGCTTAAATATAAATACTTTAAGGTGCACCATCTACGTAAAGACATGACTGTATAAAAAGTTGAAAGCACTCTCAACTCTCCTTGACTTCAATGGACGCTAAGGAGCTCAGCTCTATGGATTAGATTCTACAGCAAAGAACATTTCAAATGGTACTACATTAATGCACACTAGGGAGCTTTTTGTGGGTGCCAACAGAGTCCACACAGGCTAGTCACTGTGCAACACCCTAGTGTGCCCTAGAACTTACACCTCTCTAGTGCAGACTAATGCACAGTGTAGACAGGTCCTCACATTGTACTGGATTAATGTGCCCTGGAAGACGTGTGAAATAAAATACCAACTTCCTGGGGGATCTATTTGATATTATAGTGAGTCTTCTCTATCTGTGACTCTTATTATCCCCTCTGAAAAGAATTTTATAGCAAGAATATCTGAAATGAATAGGTTGTTATCCATTAAAAAATGAACAGCAAAATAACCATTGTCATCACTTAGCAGAAATGAAAACAGCAATACAAATTCAGCCAAATTGGCAGTGACAAATTCAGAGTTCAATGATTTTTCTTCCCAAGACTTTGGACTGTGTACCAGTCTTATGAAGAGAAGGTCTGCTGAATATATTTTGTTACAATATCTAATATTTTTAATTAGTAGTGACATAAATGCATACTTTATAGTCCACATGTGTCATTATAAAAGACAACACTTCGTTGTGCTTCAAATTTCTTTGGAACATTAGTTAAGCCACCATATTTTTTTAGGGAAGGAGTTAAAACTATGTCTAATACTGAAAATAGCAACTGTAAAACTCTCTGTACGCATTTACATACATGTCTTATTATAATCAAACTGTTTATATAATGGTAGGACCCAGAGGCCTCAATCACAATGGCGATCCATTGGGCAAGGGACTGTACAAATACATATGGAGAAAATTTCCACCCCGATAAGCTTGTATAATATTTAAAATTTTACTCATTGGGATGGATTCAGACTACATAGGGACATCAGATCTATCTATTTTAGGTACTTATATGGTCCCCATTACAATATTATGTGAGCACCATACAATCTTTAATGTACTCATCCTCACAACACCCATGTGCAGTTGGGAAGTATTATCATCGCCATTTTACAGATAGGGAACTAAGGCACAAAGAGACTAAGTCACTTGGCTAAGGTCACACAATAAGTCTCTGACAAAGCAGGGAACTGATCCCAGGTCTTCCAAGTCCCACTCTGATGCCTGAACCATCCTTCCTTTTTTAGAGTGTTATGCAGAATCTTATTCCATCATGTCTTTTAAGTTTAGGTGTATAAAAGCCATATGCAAAAGTTCTCTCACAGGCACTGAGGATAACCAAGTCTGAGAGGAAACTAACTCCCTGCACAAGTATATATAAGGGTATGTCTACCTATAGCATGGAGTGTCTCCCCAGCCTAGGGAGACAGACTCACACTAATTCTAGCTGAGCTAGTGTGCTAAAAATAGCAGTGTGGATGGTGTGGCACTGATAGAGGCTAGGGCTAGCCACCAGAACTCAGATCTACAGGATCAGGTGGGTTTGAGAGCCGCAATATCCATACTGCTACTTTTAGCACACTAGCTCAAGCTGAGATAGTGTACGTGTGTACCCAGTCTGGGAGGCATACTCCAAGCTGCAGTGTAGGAATAACCTTAGAGGTTCTATGTTATCTACAGTTTATTTAGCTCTGTAGAGGTACACAATGATATACAGAAGGGAAATTAAGCAAACAAATGAGATTCCCTGCCCAGATGAACATACAGTTCAAAACTACGAAGTGACAGAATACAAACAAAACAAAGATCAGTCTGAGTGGAGAGGGGTTGTAAGCTTAATATAACAAGAACAGCATGCTCCTGAGTTATATGAGAAGAAAGGCTAATTGGATTACCCAATTTTAAGGGCACGTCTTCATTGCAGAGTTTACACAAGTATCTATGCTCAAATTATTCCTCTCAAGTTAGCGTAGCTCACGGGAGCTTTCAGTGTGTCCACCAACATTCGCTGCATCCACAGTGGTGTTGCACTTCTCAGGGTACATCCCATAGTTCTTAGTATTGCAGTAAGCTGAGCCATTCTATGATTCTTTTCCAATAAATGGTGGGAGAACTTGTCTGTCCTTTTTGGGCACACCGGGGAAGTGTGGGAAGGCCCTGGAGGACTAGTAGCACTCAAGCAGTGCTAGCCTGCAACCTCGCTACAAAGTAGTCGTATTAGCAGCTGATGAGTTGTACTCACTCAAATTTAGGTCTATTACCCACCCCACCCCCCTTTAAGCCAGCCAATTTAAGTTAGAAGCTCCACCACACTTGAATTAAGGGGTTTTGTGTTAGATGCAACAGTTAAGTTACAATTCAAGTTAACTTTGCAGTGAAGACAAGCCCTAAAGCATCCACTTCTGGCCATTCTAGGAAGCGGGGTGACTGATAAGTATGGCTGACTAAAATGTGTGTGCCACCTATTACCATAGATTAGTTGGCTGCCATTACACCATCTAAGTGAATTAACCAAAATAAAAAAGCACTATAGCGTGACTGTACATCCTGCATCCTTCTGGAAAAAGACTCCCTCACTCAAACTTCCTTTCCTCCAAGCTATCCTTAAAAAATAGAAGTCCTCAAGATAAATGACTGTATAAACAACCAAACATGCAATGGAAACTTGTTCATGTATTTATTCCAGCCCTACTGTACCCTCAGTAATTAGCTTGTAAAAAAACCATTTATAACTTGCATAGTCATCCGAGACAAAAATAAGTTACTTTCTCTAAACTGACAAATGCCATTAACATTAACCAGCAAAACATACTAATGTTGCATAATATTCAATTATTTGGCTCAAGCTCATATCCCTGTTTAATATTTGAATAAAATATTAACTCAATTTTAAAATAACATGGTAGGGTATTTCTAACCTACCAGAAATACATTCAAAAGCTTGTGAATATTTTTATTTAATAATACCTTCTAGAGCTCACTCATTCAAGAATTCTTCCTCTAGTTTTAGGAGAGGTGAGGTACTCTCACAAGTAGAATGAGGGTTATCCCAAGAACAGATCCTTAGCTGGGGTAAATGATCATAGCTCCCAATAAATATAGCCCAATAATGAAATATTCTACTACCTGTCAACACATTATGTAGGTAAGTAGGTAGTTAGTTATACATGGATACTTGCCTGGAAGGTACTTGAACAATGGATGCATTCAGAAACCCTTACCTAGATCAGGTCTCATTCATTTTTGGGATTATTTTCTGATGCGTAATTTAGGCCTAAACTATCCATCAGTGTAGAGAAGTGTTAATTTAAATATGCAAAAATGCTTTAATAGAACTACTGCAATACTAAAATAACTTCAAAATTCAAATGAAACATTTTTTTCTAAATGTAAGCCTTCTCCTAAATTATTTTCAACCCAATTGCAGCTTTATTTTACTTCATTAAAGACAAAGTCAAACTCATTAGTCTAATTCTGTTGTTTGAGATGGGTGGCAGTCATAGAATCATAGAATATCAGAGTTGGAAGGGACCTCAAGAGGTCATCTAGTCCAACCCCCTGCTCAAAGCAGGACCAATTCCCAGCTAAATCATCCCAGCCAGGGCTTTGTCAAGCCGGGCCTTAAAAACCTCCAAGGAAGGAGACTCCACCACCTCCCTAGGTAACGCATTCCAGTGTTTCACCACCCTCCTAGTGAAATAGTTTTTCCTGATATCCAACCTGGACCTCTGTCACAGAGTATGAACAAGAAAGTGAAAGCTGATCAGTCCCCCGCAGTACTGAATCCCATGAAAGGATTAATCATCTCTCCGAGGTTGCTAAGTAACCATGTCAAGCCCTCACGATCGATCA